TGATCCACTACCGCCAGAACTGCCAAAAATATGTTACGAACTGTTATGAAACATTCAAGCGGTTTACAGTTTTTGATCACATTGTGTGGAAATACAAAGATACACTGATTACGAAAGTTGATAAAACCTTCTCTGATTTAGGCTACTGGTAAGAGATATATGGGAAAATGTTAAAAATGCGATATTTTTTCTTTTTTCTTTTTTTTTCTCGTAGGATAAAGGCAAAATAAAACTGGTTATATCTATATCTATCTATATATGAATATACATACATATACATATATATATATATATATATATATATATATATATATTATATATATATATATATATATATATATATATATACATATATATATATATATATATATATATATATATATATATATATATATATATATATATATATATATATATATATATATATATATATATATATATATATATATATATATATATATATATACCTATATATATACATATATATAGGTATACGAATATATATATATATATATATATATTATATATATATATATATATATATATATATGTATATATATATATATATATATATATATATATATATTATAATATATATATATATATATATATATATATATATATAATATATATGTGAGCATATATATATATATATATATATATATATATATATATATATATATATAATATATATATATATATATATATGTATTATATAATATATAAATATATATATATATATATATATATATATATATATATATATATATATATATATATATATATATATATATATATATATAATATATATATATATATATATATATATATATTATATATATATATATATATATATATATATATATATATATATATATATATATATATATATATATATAGTGTATATGGAGAAACACATGCAGGCACGTACATATATACTCATATATTTTTACATCTACGTGTGTGTGTGTGTGTGTGTGTGTGTGTGTGTGTGTGTGTGTGTGTGTGTGTGTGTGTGTGTGTGTGTGTGGTGCATACACACACACACACACACACACGCACACACACATACACACACACACACACACACACACACACACACACATATATATAATATATATATATATATATATATATATATATATATATATATATGTATATATATAATGTTTGTGTGTGTGTGTGTGTGTATGTATGTATGTATGCATAAAGATGTACCTACACACACACAATCACACACATGTACATATATATAAAAATAGATATAGATATATAGATCCAACCCCTTCTGTTTGCCTTTAACCTACTTACAAATCAAATGAATAAAATTCATCGGACTTTTAACATTCGTATAATATATATATATATATATATATATATATATATATATATATATGAAATGGATCCATTACGGTTTTTGTCTGATGAGGAACTCGTGAAGAGTTCGAAACGTCACGCTTATTTTTCATTTTTTTCATTGTGGCTAGTTTCATTTCATTTTTGTGTTCACGTGATTGTGTTTGTGCTTGCGTTTATAATATATATATATATATATATATATATATATATATATATATATATATATATATATATGTGTGTGTGTGTGTGTGTGTGTGTGTGTGTGTGTGTGTGTGTGTGTGTGTGTGTGTGTGTGTGTGTGAAACTGAATAACTGAATTCAATTTGCCATTAATGTCATAGTGAATTTTTAATTTGATGTAAAATAACGGGTCATAACGTTGAGTTATGGTTTTATCTGATTGCCTTAAGTAATTGAAGATCTTAATCGCAGGATGACGAACTTAAAACTTATATAAATACCCACCTTCTGCCTTAAAAACAGAGATGTAAACATATTCATGATATTTGAGATGGTAAAATGCAACGTTTTCTTCATGTATTTCTTTTAACTGTTCCTCAAAGTAAGTATTTTCTTTCCATTATATTCAGCGATAAACAATCAGATAGAGAGCAATGAATAAAGAAAAAAAAATGAGCAATCCAGCGAAAAAAAAAAAAAGTTTTTTTTCCAACATACAGTAAAGATTATTCTACTGGAAAGAAAGAAAGAAAATTGAAACATAACCACATAATGTTTTATGTTCGTTCTCTGTCATCGGATATTTTCATAATCATATGCTGCCAACAAGTTAAGATTATTCCACGAAAGAGAAAGAAAGAAAATACACTAAAACATAACCACATATTGTTTTCTATTCGCTCTCTGTCATCGGATATTTTCATAATCATATGTTGCCAAGTTAAGATTATTCCACGAAAGAGAAAGAAAGAAAATACACTAAAACATAACCACATATTGTTTTCTATTCGCTCTCTGTCATCGGATATTTTCATAATCATATGCTGCCAACAAGTTAAGATTATTCCACGAAATAGAAAGAAAGAAAATTGAAACATAACCACATATTGTTTTATGTTCGCTCTCTGTCATCGGATATTTTCATAATCATATGCTGCCAACAAGTTAAGATTATTCCACGAAAGAGAAAGAAAGAAAATATACTTAAACATATCAACATATTGTTTTCTATTTGCTCTCTGTTATCGGATATTTTCATAATCATATGCTGCCAACAAGTTAAGATTATTCCACGAAAGAGAAAGAGAAAGAAAATACGCTTAAACATATCAACATATTGTTTTCTGTTTTGCTCTCTGTTATCGGATATTTTCATAATCATATGCTGCCAACAAGTTAAGATTATTCCACGAAAGAGAAAGAGAAAGAAAATACGCTTAAACATATCAACATATTGTTTTCTGTTCGTTCTCTGTCATCGGATATTTTCATAATCATATGCTGCCAACAAGTTAAGATTATTCCACGAAAGAGAAAGAAAGAAAATACGCTGAAACATAACCACATATTGTTTTCTATTCGCTCTCTGTTATCGGATATTTTCATAATCATATGCTGCCAACAAGTTAAGATTATTCCACGAAAGAGAAAGAAAGAAAATACACTAAAACATAACCACATATTGTTTTCTATTCGCTCTCTGTCATCGGATATTTTCATAATCATATGCTGCCAACAAGTTAAGATTATTCCACGAAATAGAAAGAAAGAAAATTGAAACATAACCACATATTGTTTCTATTCGTCTCTGTCATCGGATATTTTCATAGCCAACAAGTTAAGATTATTCTACGCTGAACATAACCACATATTGTTTTCTATTCGCTCTCTGTTATCGGATATTTTCATAATCATATGCTGCCAACAAATTCAGCTGGAATTGCAGCTCTTCTTATCGTGCAGCCAGAGAGCTGAAGGGGAAACAAATGTTTTAAACCAAACACAATGTATATAAAATGCATCTGTTGTATCCACACTTGCAAGGCGTCACAGCTGTTTTTTTAGTAACGCACGCACGCACACGCACACACACACACACACACACACACACACACACACACACACACACACACACACACACACACACACACACACACACACACACACACACACACACAAACACACACACACACACATCAGTATAAATTCGGAGACGCAATATCAAACACAACAGGGAAGAAGATTTGGGGGGTAATCATAAATAGAAACCTGAACCCAAATGATCATATAAATGAAAATGGTCCACAAAAGCTAGGACTGATTGCCAACATGAAAAGGGCATTCGTGTATGTGGACGAAAATATGGTAAAGATCATTATAGCAGTCATAAACCAAGTTTTGAGTACAGTGCAATGGTATCGAGGCCATACTTAAAAAATAGAAATAAAAATAAATTAATTAATAATCAAAAATATATATAATAATATATTATATATATATATGTGTGTGTGTGTGTGTGTGTGTGTGTGTGTGTGTGTGTGTGTGTGTGTGTGTGTGTGTGTGTGTGTGTGTGTGTGTGACAAATATGAGTTACGAAGACAGACCACAGAAATTAGAACTTACTACCTTGGAAGAAAGAAGGAAAAGGGGGGACACGATTATGCTCCTCAACTGCATAACAGGAAGAGTGAAGTTAGATAAAGATGACTTTTTAAATTTTGAACACAAGAAGGACGAGAGGACACAAAAAAACGAAAGTAAAAAGAGGTAATAAAGATGTCAAAAAATTTAGTTTCCCAAATAGAACTAGCATAGAACAGTTTCCCCGAACATGTAGTGTGTGCCAAAAATGTGCATCAATTTAAAAAGTCATGCGACAATTTAAATATAGCAGACGGGACCGCCTGAGTTTAGCTCTTCTCCCGTATTGAAAGAACTAGGCTAGAACAACTAGGTAAGAACATATTAATACACATATACACATCCATTAATCCATCCATCCATCCGTCCGTCATACCTACACACACACACACACACACACACACACACACACACACACACACACACACACACACACACACACACACACACACTCACACACTCACTCACTCACACACACTCACACACACACAACACACACACACACACACACACACACACACACACACACACACACACACACACACTCACTCACTCACTCACTCACTCACACACACTCATACACATCACACACACACACACACACACTCACTCACTCACTCACTCACTCACTCACTCACACACTCACACACACACACACACACACACACACACACACACACACACACACACACACACCACACACACACACACACACAACACACAGTGTGTGTGGTGTGTGTGTGTGTGTGTGTGTGTGTGTGTGTGTGTGTGTGTGTGTGTGTGTGTGTGTGTGTTTTGTAAATCTGCAATCATACCCTTTCTATACAAGACTACCTATGCTTGGAACAAACATCATATTGCTAACCGACCAAAACAATATAACCCGCAAAAACATCAGTCAATACCAGAAAATATATTGAGACTCGACCTCGCTGTGCCGTCGACTGTCAACAAAGACAGAGGACCTAGGTGGTAGACACGCAAAAGTGTTTATTTGAAAAAAAGTAAAGAAAAAGTGCAGGTATACGTGATTTTCGATATATACCGTACGTATGATGGTTGTATGTGATATCCTTATGTGAAAGGTTGGAGAGAATAGTAACTTCATGTCTTTATCGCCTCATGTGCAGGAGTAGAGACATTTGCTACTCTAATTTTGTTGCAGTAATTGGCGGTGTGTTAGAGAAATATATATGTATTACTGACAGTTAATGTCTGCTACAACAGGTGGAGTGAGAGAGAGAGAGAGGCTCCAACCCTTTCTTTGTACTCAATGGTTGTCAACTGTCTACTATGAGGGTAATATATGATTAAGTTTCATGCATATATATATAGTAAGATAAACAGCACATGCTGTAAAACTAGTTTGTAATTCTTTACAGCAGAGACACACTTGCCAGAGACTAAGTCCCCAACTCCATGGCACAAAATTTACTAATCAATTTAAGTTGCTGTGACTGGGTGTGCCCGAAGGAGGGTTGATGGGCAGCTCTGCCCCAATTTAAGTTGCTGTGACTGGGTGTGCCCCCAACACCCTCTGAGAAACATTGTCTTCACCTCGGTATGCACGGCAAGATAGAGCTAATACTCAGGAGGAACCGAGTGGACTTTGGTTGAGAGCGATGCTTTCCATGATTTTTTTCCTTTATTTGCAGTGTTACTGCTTGTGTCTGCAAGTTATTTCTTGTACTGCAACTTTTTGTCCTCTACAAGAATATCATATTCAATTTGCCATAACTTATTCTGCCCATACTGTAAAGATTAGCCAACTAGTGAATTATGAGACGGTTTCCCTGTTATTTACAGTTTCACATAGCCAATAATTTTCTGATGTGCTGTATGGTTGATGTATGTAGTGCCTTGATTAATATTGTACCTTGTTCCCATGGCAAATATCTTATTATAGTTATGCCTACCCCCTCATCCCAAACAATCTTGGGGGACCTGCAGGTAACTGCGTGTAAAGTCTTTAAATGCACTTTATGTATCACCAGGAAGGCAGATAAAAAAACCATTGATTGAATCCTATTACTGCTATTAGGTAACAGTAATAGAGTAATAGTGTGGTATAGCTTGACTCTTTATTATTAAAAAAGTATACGGCACAGGAGTACATAGCGTAAGGTAATGCACATTGGGCAGGGCGTTGAGCAGTACCAACTCCAGCCCAGGCCAGAGGGGCCATGGACTGGCTGGTAGGGATTTTAGGTCAACGGCTGACATGACCGCGCTTTTTCTTGTGATGGTACTTTTATCAAACACCTGGAGGGCAGACATGGCATGGGTGTATGGCACAAGGGAATACAATATTTTGGAAGCCATGATTTTCTATAAAATTATGTTTATATGGCCACCTTACTAGTATAGCCTAGCCTAATGGAACACAACCTCTTTTAAAGTGTATATTACGCAGTTTCATGCTTCCTCACCCAAAAACCCCAATTTCCTACAGGTTCCCCAAGATTGTTGAGGGTGAGGGGTAGGCATAACTCAAAAACTAGATATTTGCAATGGGAAAAAGGTATGAAATCAATCAAAGCACTTCATATATCAACAAAAAGACATAAAGCCCATCAGGATATTGTTGGTTTGGGTAAAACTGTAAATTGTCCCGGCTTTCTTATGTAAAACAGCAAGATTCACTCTGAGTGGTCCTGAACAAGGAGTCACAAGATTACAAGATAAACATTAGCTTACAAACTTCTTATCTTCTTCCTCTTCTTATTAGTCCTCTACTTCATCTTATTTTTCATCTTCTCATAAGCAATGAGATTCAGATTCACCCAAATTTTTAAATAATTGTTCTGAATAGGCCCATGTATTGTGACATTAGCCTTTACGGTTTGCATTCTCAGGTTAGCAAACCCTTACCAGATGTGATTGAGAGGGTAAGGATTGCTCTCATATCTATAGATGAATTAATAGTGAGCCAGTCTTGAATCGAGGCTCTTTCTGCCAAAGACAGCTGACAGCTCTTTCGAAATTCTGCGCACCGGTGTATATTTCCCATCCTTAACTTCACTGTTGTATTTTAACATATAGGTATTGAGTATTTGAAAAACTGGCTTGGCATATATCAAATTTGGTCTTTGTGTTCATATCTGGGTGACAGGGATCACCAATTCAAGTATGGCATGTGAGGTCAACAAACTGTTATGTTTGATGGATTTTTTTTATCTTTGTCAGAATGCTAAGTTTGGAGACCACACTAGCATTAGAGAGAAATTATTGAATATGTTAACTAAGATTATCTCATTTGAATATGCATATTGGTGATAATTAGAATTTTTTTAAATATATTTGACCATGACCAGTGTGTCCAATTTGATATTTAATAAGGAATTAGTTATATTATAAAATCATGTGATCATGTCTGATTTCCCCCTTCCTTGAAATAGCAGGAAAATATCTTTTTCCTTCTAATACTATTGATATTGATAATCTTATTATTCTTATTAATGTTATGATTATTAAACTGTTATTAAAATATTAATAACATTAAAGACACTAAAATAATACAGAAGCTTTCCAAAAATCAAG